GGTACCATGCTGTTTTTATCACAGTAGCTTTGTAGTGTAGTTGCAGGTTGGGGATTGTGATACCCCCTGCCATGCCTGTCACCTAGAATTGCTTTTGCTATTCTGGGTCTCTTCTTGTTCCTGTAGACACTTTATTTGCAATAGAGCTGCATTGCATTTCTAGGCCAAACTGTCATTCACAGTAGAAGTCTTATGTATGTGCACTATGAAAATCAGTATTGCAGATAGGTAGAGTGACCAGTGAGTAACACCGGACTCTTTTTCTCGTATCTAGTAGATATCCCAACACTGAAAGTTCTACCTGCTTGGAGTTACAAACAGCACTTTATTTCATAATCTGCCATTCATTTTAATGGGGAGGCAGGGTGAAAACTTCAGCTAAGACAGAAGAACATATATCCATTCCCTTTTAGATTTCCCACCTAGATTTCTTGCTAGGAATATAGTTATAGGTCTTCTGTCCTTCTCTTTTCCAAAGAATTGTGTAACACATTCTACCCCCACACTGCTAATCACTCTAGAAGCCTAATAAATGTGCACACTCAAAATCCCTATTTCAGACAGGCACACACTCCACTGAGTAAAGCCTGACTCCATTCCTTGTATCAAGTTGAAATCCAAACACTGAAAGCTCTAGCTTTTTGTAGTTACAAACAGCACTTTACTTCATACTCTGACATTCACTTCAATGGGGAGGCATGGCACAAGAAATATTCCAGGGTAAAAACTTCAGATAAAATAGCAGAACCTATTTGCATTGGCCTTTAGACTTCTCACCTAGACTTCTTGCTGGGAATACAATGACAGGTCTCCTGCTCTTTTCTTTTCCAGAAACCTGTATAACTCATTCTACCCTAAACTACTATTCACTGTAGAGGCCTGATATATCTGCACTCTGCAAATCCCTATCGCAGATAGGAAAACATTCCAGTGATTGCAGCCAGGCTCCGTGCCTTGTATCTAGCTGATACCCAAACCCTGAAAGCTCTAGCTTTTTGTAGTTACAAACAGCACTTTATTATATTCTACCATTCACTTCAATGGGGAGGCAGGGTCCAAGAAGTATCCCAGTGAAAATCTTCATGTGTAGCCTGGAGCAGGAACTGCCATTTGGGGAAGTTCCCCAAAACTGATAGACTGCAATAGTGTGGAAAACTCAAGCCACCGGATAGATTTGGGATGTAAGCCCCTTCACCTGTTCTCCTTCCTCCAAACATATGACCTCTAGCAAATTTTGCTGGAACATGGAGGGATGCATGAGCAGGAAGTTGCTCCCTCCTTGATGTGCCACCAGTTTTTCCCCCTTTTTTTGTGGTGTGCTACAGTGGCAAAATGGAAACTCTAGTGACAACAAGGTTAGGTACCACAGCAAGGGCAGTGAAAGTAGTGAGTGGAACAGCACCACTGCTCCTGCCCTGCTTCCAGCAGTGTGTGAGAGAGAAGGAGGGAGGACTTAAGCAGCCTTTGGCTGTGGTAGGGTAATGGGCGGGAATACAACACTCCCCTCAACCTATTCCCAATGGTGCGAGAGGGGAGGGAGAAGTAGAAGCCAATCAGCCTTTGGCTGTCTCTGACGTAGTGGCAGAGGCAGTGAGTTGCTCAACAGCACACCCCCTGCAGGGCACCCAGCAGTGTGAGAGAGGAGAGAGATCTGCCAGTGGAGTGGAACAGAGGAGGCTGTGCAAGGGCCAACTCTGTGCAGTTGCCAAGGGAGGGGCCAACTCTATATCAAGATTCAACAAATTCCACACAAGAACAGAATATTAAAGCTGTTAGAGAAGAGAAACAAATCACATCTTAAGAAAACCCATCAGAATCATAGCAGACTTCTTAACACAAAACACTTAACTCTTCACTCCAAGGAGAGCTTAGAGTGAAGTATTTCAAGTCCTGAAAGAAAACAATCTCCAACCCAGATTGATGGACCCTGAATAAGCATCTTTTAGAGTCAATGAATAAATAAGATACTTCCATGACACAGAACAACTGAAGAAATTCATGACCACCAAACTGTTGCAGAATTCCGAGGGACAAAAGAGACCAATGGGAATCAGGAGGATTTTATTTTAAGGTTTAAATTGTATACTGGCTAAATGGATTTCTGTGCATAGGAAGAGTGTTGAACAAAGAGAAGTTCCAGCTTTTATACATTTGATCAAAGGGGAGTGTTCTTTCTAGTGACATGAAAGATGGGGGGCAAGTGAAGTTATAGAAGCAAAGAAAAAGCAAGTTAGTCATGTCTCACATGATGACAGTTTTGTTTCCTGTGAATCTTTTGTGAAGGCATTATGAACTTTGTTTACAAGGCATAGTTGTCAATCTCATTTGTATCTTTTGAGGCCATGCAGTTCCCTAAAGTTACAAAGACCTCATTTACATTTCATGTAACTGTCCTATTAGTACCAGGATGAGTGTACATCCTTGAAGGAAACCAGATTCCTATGAAGTCAGGTCTTCACTGGACTCTGTTAGCAAGAACCTTGTTGTTTATGTTATCTGTAGCAAAACAAGGAGTTACAGCTATAGAGGAGAGGGGTGACTGGGGGGGAGTGCTCTAGGCTTGTGCTTTTTTAAAGTCCTGCTTCATTCCCTCATTTGATGCTTTTGTTTTTAGTACCGGGGATCAAACTCAGGACCTTGTGCATGTGCGGCAGGTGCCAGAACCACTGAGCTAAATCCCCAGTCCCCTTTGATGCTTTTCATAACAAGATTTACTAGAAAATATAATCATCATTATTTTTTTGTCACAATGTGGATGGACAGTACAACCTACTGAGCAGAGATTGGCACTTATTTAAGGCTGTCAGTCAAGTAGTGGTATGCCTGTCAAGAGACTCTGGCCAATTGAATGTTTTTCACAAGTAGGGATAAGAGGCAAGGGAGAATTACAACAAAGAGGATAAGAAATTTGTTGTCATTGTGATTCTGTATTGATCTACAAGCCTTGGCTGTGCATAGACTTGTCAGCTTCCAGGGTGACTAGAACAGGGCTGTCATCTCTGGTGGTGATCTTGTCACAGGATCAGCTAGTTCGGGTGTTCTGGATCCTGCTGGCTTGTCTAGCAGTCTTGGGTAGCCTGTTTCAGCCAACTGTGGTGGATCCAAGGCATGATTCCTGCAACTTTAACAGCAGTGGAGGCAGACAAAAATGACAGTATGGGGCCCATATCATTTGTGTCCCTGAGGAGATGGATTTTATTTCTTGACCCAGTGTCCCCAGGTTTGAAAGGGTGTATTGGGTCTGCCAGACCTATGGGCATCTTTATCTTCTACCCAGCTATGGATATTTTGCAGGGCATTTGCAAAGCCTGTATTGGTTTACTCGGGACAATTTTCTTATCTCACAGAGATTACCCTTAATTTGATCTATAATTGGATGTGTCTGGCTGAACACAGTTTTATAATGGGAATACCCAGTTTGTTTGGTGAGGGTGCACTGGCCTCAGGGGAGAACTGTGGGTAGGACTTGATCTCATATCAAGTAAGTTGTTTTTTACAATATTTCTTAAGCAATTGTTTGAGTGTCCAGTTTATGTGTTCCACTTTTTCTGAGCTGTGTGTGCAGTAAGCTGTGTGAAGCTTTTATTGTATCTTTAACATCTGTGTGAGCTCCTGGACTATCTTGGCTATAAATGCTGGTCCATTGTGTGACCCAAAGGTCAAAGGCAGGCCAAATCTTGGGATGATGTCAATTAGGAGTACATTGGCCATCTCTTGTGCCTTTTCTTCAAGTGGGGAAGGCCTCAACCCATCCTGAGAAGGTGCAGACAAGCACTAACATATATCTAGTCACCTCCTCAAAACTAGTAAAGTCCATAAGCATGTTATGGGGTAGCTCCTGTGTTTTGGAAACCTGAGGGCTGGGGGGGTGCCTGTCTTGGTTTATTTTGTGCACAGTTTAAGCATTGCTGACAAACAGCTCAAGCAATGGCAGTGAGCCATGGCACATAGAAATGGCAGCCTAATCCTGTCTTTTCTACATGAGACCCCTGATGAAATTGTTTTATGAACTTGGGGCCGGGCGCTTTGGGGATGGCTAGCCTCCCACCAGAAAACTTCAATTGTCTCCCCCTTTATATACTTCAAGCTTCTTGTGCAAACCAGGGTTTCTCACTTGGAGAATAATTTGGGGTGTCTGGGAGAGGAAGCTCAGAGATGAGGGTCATGGCTAGTGTCCTTCTTTAAGTTTAGGGTGCTATCAGCAGCCCATTTTGCTTTTCTGTCTGCTTTTCTGTTCTCTCTGGATTCGAATGCTCTAGTGCTTTGGTGCCCCCTGCAGTGTATAACAACCACTTTCTTGTATCTGCGCTTGTATCTTGCAGCTACAAAATTTCTTTTTTGTACTTTATTGTTTTTCTTTTAGCAGTTAAGAGTCCACTTTTTTATATATGGCCTCAATTCATATGCAATATTGTGAAGGCTTATTTTTAATCAGTACAGACATTAGATTTTTTTGTCCTCTGTTAACAAGAGAGGCCTTGTCAAGGCCACTAGCTTTGCCTCTAAGCTAAAGTCCTGGTGAGCAAAGGCCAAGCCTCTACCACGGAATCCAATCTCATCACTGCAAATCTGGCCAATTGGACTTCTTCTAACAAAAGGCTGTTTCTATCTGTGAAATATCTGATATCTGGGTCTCTGAGGGGGTGCTTTATGAGATCTCTTCAGCTCGAGACCATTTCATCTATTACTTCTACACAGTCATGGATGGGGGGTGGGGTGGGGGTGGGTCCCAGTTCAATTGAAAGCAAAGTGGCTGTTTTAAGAATGTTCAAAATCTCTAAATTTGTGAGATTTTCACATAGAGGCTGATGATTAACAATTCATCCTCAGATTTGATAACCGATGGTGCCCTCTCTGTTCCATTAAGGTTATAACTGAGTCCAGTACTTGTATATGTCATGCCCAACAGACAAGGCCATTATTGGAAGGCACTGTGGGAAACTTCAGAAAAGAACAAAGACAGTAAGTCTTGTCCCAGCCACTACAATTCCAGGAAACCTGATAGCACCTGCAACCACCACCCATCCCAAGAATTGTGACCTCACTCCACCTCTTAATTCCTCAGGGCAGCAAACTCCTCCCCTCCCCTTTAAAATTTTGTTCTTGCCTCACTCACTGCTGAGTCCACTTTTCCCAGACTCAGCTCACTTGTGTTTTCTCACGCAAGTGAATAAACCACCCTCTTACTTGCACAAGGTCTCCTCTGGATGGTCTCTCTGCTCTCCCCCACCTCCATTACAGTATGGTCAATTGTTGTCCCATTGTTAACCTGTCAGCTTCCTGCATCAGCAGGACAGTGGCTTCAAGTGCCTTAAAGCATGGAGGCTATACTAGGGCCACAGAGTATAATTGTTTTGACAAGTATGTCACTGGGCAATGCCAGGATCTCAAGATCTGAGTTAAAATTCTAATGGCCATTTTCTTCCATTCATGGAAATATAGGAAGAAAGGCTTGGTTATATCTGGCAGTCCCAAAGCTGTGGCCAGAGTCAAAGATTCTTTGAGTTGTTTAAAAGATTTCTCCTGGTCAGCTTCCCAGAGAAGGGGCTTCTTACCCACCCTTTGATAGCTTCATTTTATAAGGCCTTAGCCATGAGTGAGAAGTAAGGATTCCAGATGCAGTAGAAACTTGCTGCACCTTATCTGACATCTTGTAGACAGGTTTGTGAGGGCACACAGCTTTTTTTTGTTGTTCAGTGCCCAGCTTGCATTCCCATTTTGTTACTATAAACCCAGATACCTGACCCTTTGTTGGTAAATTTGGGCTTTCTTCTCAGACACCTTATACCTGGCATTCTAGAACAGGTTAAGATCATCTCTGGTCCCTTGGAGACAGTCCTCAAGAGAGGGAACTGGAAAAGAAGATCATATAAATATTGTAGTAAAACAGTCAATTATTAGTGTAGGAAAGGCCTTGAGATCAGTGGCCTTATCCGATCCCCAAAGATCATAGGGGAGTTCATAAACCCCTGGGGAAGCCACGTCTAAGTGAGATGCTCTTTTATGCCAGTAAGTGGGTCCTCCCACTGAAACGAAAAAATGGGTTGACTGATTCCAAGTGGAGGCAGAAAAAAGCAGCTTTTAAATCTAGGCAGAGAAACCAGGCAGCACTTGGTGGAATAAATCCCATCAGTGTTTGTGGATTTGGCACCATCAAATGTGTAGTCTCAATAACCTGATTTATGGCATCCAGGTCCTGTACTGGTCTGTATTCATTTTTCTTGACTTATGCACTGGCAGGAACAGGGTGTTTCAGGAGGGATGGCATCTAGTCAAGACTCTATGTTCTTAGAGCCACTTTAAATGTCCATGAATGCCTTGTATGGCTTCCTAGGGGAGGGGGTGTTGTCAGATTTGAACTGGAGTTGCTCCTGGCTTTAGTTCCATTATCACCAGTGTTTGATTTAAATACAGCCACATCAGAGAGAATAAGAGGGTGGAGTTAACATTTATTAATTGTAGCTACAGGCAGATGATTAGAGAGCAACAATTTATGAACAGTAAGAGCACTCAAGTAAAGTATATATTTCTAGCTTTCTTTAGAGGTAGCACATTCTAAACTTTCTTGGTTTGGAACACAGATTAATCTCTATTCTCTACAATCTAGAAGACTTAATCTAAAGGCATGAACCTGTGATATCAACATTTTGGGGATCTTCAATGTTTTAATATTCATTTGATAGGAACAGACGTCTGTTTTAGTCAGTATTGTTGCCAAGTTGTTTTCCAATGCATTTGCAAAATTTACAACTTCTATCAGCAGTGTATGGTATTATCTGTTGCTCCATATTCTCACCAACACTTGGTATTCAGCCTTTTAAAAGCTGTTTTGGTGGGTATATGGGGTGTATCACTGAAGTTTAAATCTGTGTTTCTGTTATGACTGACAGTACAAAGCTACTATGTGTTTATTACGTACTTGGACATCCTGGTTATGAAATATCAGTTGAAGTCTTTTGACTAGATTTTGTGTGTGTGTTGCTAGGAATTGAACCTATGAACCTCACATCCCCTACATAAATAAAGCTATAACCTCAACCCCTAGCCTTTTTTCTCCCATGTCTTAACTGAGCTGTCTAAACCCCTCATATTTATTTAGGAATCTCTCTGACAAAAAAATAAAATCTTTCCAAATTTTATCTCAACTGGCTAATATCTGCCACAATATATTCTTGCCTCACTGTTCAATGTAAAGTATTCCCAATTGTTTTATTGCCAACTTGATAAAAAGGTAAAGGCTTTCCCAGACAGAAGAACCTAGCTGAACACTCCATAAATTGCTGATCCAAGTTCCCTTTATTTAAAATGATTTACTTTGTTAAAGTATCTAGGTAACAGATGGAAGCCAGTTGTAAATGTTGGGTCAGGTGAATCCAACTTCCAAAACCTGCAGCCAGGAACTGACAAATACAAGATTTCGTTGTAAGCCTTTGACAGTTGGCTTCTAATTCTATAACATTAAAAAAATAAAGAGGGCTAGTACTTCTTATTCCTCTGTCATTTCATCAACCTCAGTAGTGCTGGTAGTGTGAAATAATTTAATTTAGCCATTTAATAAAAGATTTACTTACTATCAAGTATGAATTGCTACATGCAATTTGGCACCTGACTCCCACTATTAAGAACTAATAGGGCCACTTGCGAGCGCTAGGTCTTGAGTTTGATCCCTGGTACCCAAAGAACAAAAAACAAAACACAACAAAAACTAATGAAAATTCCTAATATTAATGAGTAAGAGGTCCAGAGATAAAATGATCTTCTTTGCTGGTTAATAAAGGTCAGTTGTGATTGTATGTATTGATTTTTCTATACCTTATCTGAAAAAGTAGGGAGCGCTGGCTATTCTGGTAGCTATTAGATTTGCCATTCCCTCAAAATGCAAAGCTCCTAAATGTAAAGAGAGGAAAATTAGATTTTATCTTCTATCCTCTCTCATTATATGATACATATAGTAAGTGGATAAGCGGCTTTCAAGTACTCATGAAATTACCTGTGTCAAGTATACACTAAAAATTATAGTTTAAAAAGTTATATTTGCATTCTTAAACATTTGCCAATTAAACTACATTAAAATGCAAAGCTAAGTTTATATGGCAATAACTTACAAAGCAGACAAATGTAGGAAGGATCCACAGTGTTGGTTAAGAAATTTTTCTAATAATGTATTTAATTAAAATTGACATGGAACATACATCTTCATAGAATTTTCATATTGAAAAGCTTAATATTTAAGGGGTAATAAGTAAATTCTGCTATACAGCTACTTTAAAACACTTTCCTAAGTTTATATGAAATTTAAGATGAAAGAAAATCAAACTGTCAAGTAGAAACTGCTGCCCCTCTGAAAAAAAAAGCAGCAAAATCAAGCTGATTCAGAGATCAGCATGAGGGAGAGAATTCATTATGGCAAATATCAACATAATTTTTTGTAGTTGTTTTTGGTACTGTGAATGCAGGGCCTAATCAAGCACAGTGAACTATACCAGAACCCTAGCAACACAATTTTCAAAAGACCTTTAAATGAGTCTTGGAGTATCATTTAGATGGCTCAACAATGGGAATCTTTTGGTAAAAATTTTTTTCACATCTCATTTCAAGTAAAACGTATAAATTCTTTTCAAAAATCTTTTTCCACATAAATTCCTTACAAAGAAATTCCTAAAATTCCTCAGGCTAAGAATAATTTTTTCTTTTGAAGATATATATGATGTTTCACACAATAATTAGGTCTTCATGAAGAGTTAAGAACAAATCCATAAATAACATATTATGGAGCAAATGTCTTCACTCTACCGCTACAGAAAATCAACATCTGTAAAAATTACTATTTGGAATCTTCCTCCCAACTGTATATTTCTCTATAATTCCTCACATCTTGGAAGTGTCCACACTGTGGGGAAAGCCTGTGTGGCCCATGATCACCAAAATTTGAATATCAACTAAGATTACTCCCTTATGGAAATAAAGAAATGACACAGTTACTATAAACTCTATCAGAGCCAATAAACTTAACTTTTTCAAAGGATTCTTAAATTTCCTAGTGCCAGGAAAGCTTTCCTGCTAGTTTGCTTTTTTCTTTTTAGGGGGTGCGGGGTGTGTGTGGGTAGGGAAGTATATTTCATAGTAAGCAGCAAGTAGAAACTATGTTTACTCAGTATCACATGAACTCTAATCATAGAAGATTCCAGGAATGACTTAGGATTTTTAAAAATAATAGAATCAACAGATGGCTCATCACATTTCTTTGATCAACTAGTTATGCCAAAAAAAAAAAAGCTAACAGAGGCTCTTTGATGATATACAGGCATACCCTTACTAGAAAAATGTTTAATCCAAATAACAATCTTAACTGTACATTTATACATTTCAGTTTTTGGAGAATTATCACAAACAATATTTAATTTGAAACAGTATGTAGGATGAAGAGACATTTTTAAAAATCATCTTTAAAAAATTATTCATTTAATACCATCTCAATTTATAAGGAGAAATGCAGAATATAATGGATTCCACACAATTAAAGCCATGATACTATGTATTTCAAAATAAAATTACTGATCTGGTATACATATTCTTATTTCTGTATGTTAAATTAAAACATTTCTTCATGTGTTTTTTGGCCACTTGCACTACTACTTCTGAGAAGTGTCTATTCATTTCAATTGCCCATTTTTTGATTTGGGTATTTTATTATGTGGAATCTAATTTTTCTGAATTCTTTATATATTTTTGATGTTAGTCCTCTGAGGAATAGCTGGCAATTTTTTTTTTCCCATTCTGTAGGTCGTC